CTCTTCCGAAAAGCTGCGACCAGGACAGTGGCAGGGCAGAATCTCAGCGACCAGTATTAGGGATCGCGGGCCACCGCGAACGGCCTTATGCTGGGGACCCTGAACCCAGAATTGCTGAGCTTGGAAAAGCCAAAATGTTATTAAAAGGAAAAGAACGTCTTCGGCTGGGCCCGAAGGGATCCCTGCTCCAATCGCATCTCCGGGCGGCGCCAGCCAAACCCGCTGACCACGAAACCCATGTTGGAGGACCCATGAGGCGCCCTCGAGCGTATGGTGCGCGTGCACACACCTCCCTCCCCACCTGGGGTGGCCGCGGACAAACCGGCCGCCAGATCACCTTTAACGGGAGAGTCGGGGCCCAGGTGAGAGCGCAGATGGCCAGAGCTGCCCCGCGGCGCAGCGGTCTCTGGGCCTCGCGCCCTAGGGCGCGAGCACTTTTCACTCTTGAAAGGTGAATTTTTGCTAGAATCCCCCCATTCGAGCTGCCTGTTCCAACTTTAATAGGTATCTGATCCGGGAAAAGGAGGAAAGTAGGGGCAGTGTCTTTAAGGAGCTCTGCTAAGGAAATGAGCCGCGGAGCCGGTTCTGCGGAACTGCCTAATGTCCCTCGGCCCGCAGCCCAGCGAGCCCCCAAACGGCTGCGGAGAGCCGTGGCCGCGGTGCGAATGCGGTCTGCCGGAGGGATCCGGGCGTGTCCGGGTTCCAGCGGGGGGTAGGGAGCCGCCGCCCTCCCTGGTCTCCCGAGCGGTGCGACTTTTGCTTCCTCTCCTCCAAGGGTGACGGCTGGTTCGCTCTACCCGGGACGTGGCCTGCTAGGAAAGGAGGAATTTCTCGGCGGGATGTCGGGACTTAGAAGGGGATGACCAAGAGAGCAGATAGGAAGACAAGAGTCGTGAGAAGAAGTTCGTGGGCTCTTTAGGGGTAAGGGGCCTTTCTCTCGCAGACAAGGTCGTGGAGACCACAAATCTCAGCTCAGCGGTGGTGATGAGGGAGGGGGACCAGAACATCTTCGCGCGGTGGTACCCTGGACAAGGCGTTTACCATCTCAGCACGCGGACGCTTAGGAACAGTCAATTTCAGAGACTAGCAAAACTAGAGGCTGGTGATCCCCGTATTTGCGGCCGTCTTCTCTGCTCGCCTTTCTTCTTCTGCGGCTCCTTCTACTGTTACTCCTTCGTCTATTCTCTTTAATCTCTTCTCTCCCCTCACCCCGCCTCCGTGCGTCTGGCCCACTGTTTTATCTCTGCGCGCGGAACCTCCAGCATGCCCCCTCCCAGAGCTCCGGGCCGCTTTGCCTTCCTAGGCAGCTGCTCCGGCCTCTCCGGCTCCTATCGCCGCCGCCGCCATCTGCCCGCCGGGCTCCGGGCCTCCAGGAATCTACCCGCAAGATGCGGCAGGAGAGGCGCTCGCAAGCGGCGCGGCGGAACCCAGGAGTGGCCCGGAAGCCGGTTCTCCTCTGCCCGCGGCTGCTGCCAGCTCCGGTCCTCATGCTCCGCTCTGGACCCAGCCCACCTCGCAGGACTAGGGGCTAAGCTGCGAGGCGTTGGATGCTACTTTATTTGTCCTCCCAAAGAATGGTCTGTGGGAAAGGAGTAGGGGAGAAACGCAACGACCCAGGCAGTTCAGAAACTCGAGTGTTGGCTGCGGGGTAAGTGTTCCCCTGACTACAGCGACCTTCCAGCCCGAGGGCGATCCCCAGCGCACGGGGCCAGGGAGACAGATTGGGGGAGAAAGAGATAGAGCGAGCGAGCCGGGGGTGGGGGCACAGAGAGACAGTGAGAGCGAGAGCGAGAGAGGGAGAGAGAGGAAGAGAGAGAGAGAGAGAGAGGGAGAGAGAGGAAGAGAGAGAGAGAGAGAGAGAGAGAGAGAGAGAGAGAGAGAGAGAGAACGAGCTAGAGACTTTAAGAGCATAATAATTGTGCGGCCGGCTGGTTACCTCTGCGCCGCGACATTGGCGTCCACCACGCCGACATTCCGGACCCAGGACCTGACCGAATCCATCTCGGCGCCCAGCGATTTCTCTTTCAGAGCTGGTCCTCTTCCTAAAGTATCTTGAATCCCAAACATTTAAAAAGTCTGATCTACTGTCTCTTTAAAAATAAGAGTTACAACACTGTCCTTACTGTTCTCAACGCTGTCACCAAACCGTTTCCTCCAAAGCAATCCAAAAAAGGGGGAGGGGGTGGGAATCAAGTGCTGAAGTTTGAGTTTCTCTTGGGGAGGAAAAAAATAACCCGTCCTTTGCTTCAGGCGTGAGATGCGGACTGATGTAGTTAAAGTTTGGGTTTTATCCTCCGCAAGTTCAGATCTGCCGCCTCAGGCCCTCTGTCCTAAGTCTCTCGCATCCTTCCAGCGGCAGCGCTGCCTCCAGAAAGTGATCACAATTTTGAAGCATCACCTGTTCTGGGAGAAACGGGAGGAGATTGATGGCTGCCTAATCTCTCCCGTTTCTCCTGGTTCCCCCCTCCCTCCTGCTCCTCCCTACTGCTCCAATTTAGAAAAAAAAAAAAAAATCCCCAACAGGATCAGTTGTAAAAGGAAGGGGAAGACCCGGAGCCGAGAGGAGGCGGTGGCTGCCAGCACAGCCGAGCGGGGCTGCAGCCGCTCGCCGGCCCCATGAATGGGTTACTACGGTCCGGGCCTCGGGAGGCGGAGCCGCGGCCCGATAAGAAGCCTCATTTGCATGGACGCTCGGGATTGGTCGGCGCTGGGCAGGCCGGGCCGACGTCCTCAAGCGGCGCGCGCCAGGCTTGGCGTTGCCGGGAGTCCGGGAGGTGAAAGGGGACAGAAAGCTGTGGACGCTGCGTCCTTGGTGTGCGTGCGTGGGATGGGGCCCCAATACCCAGCACTGTAGCAGGGTAGACTGGCCCTGCGGCCTTGGACGCAACCGCTCAGTCCAGACGTGGGAGCGGGAAGCGTGCGCGGATCCTACCTCTGGATGCAGACTTCTGTAGCCTGTCTGAAAGCATATTCATTCCCAGCGCTTGGATCTGTGTGCGTGTTTGTAAAGAAGCGGAGATTGTGACCACATGTCCTTACATTTTGTGCAAATGTTCCCCCAGAATAACCCAGTTCCCTGAACGGCTCTCCCAAATCTCCTGGAGTCACATGGTGACACTTAGATTTTGTGTGCGGTTTACAAGTTGTCGAGATAGGAGGGTGTATGTATGAAAGCGGGGCGGGGGGCGGGGAGGTAGCGTGGGGACGAACAAGGCTCAAGTGCTATTCAAATAAATAGTGTCGAGGAAACAGTCAAGGAGCTAAGGAAAATAACCCCGGGCGGATGCAAGCGAGAGTCGCACTCGTGCGGATGAGAGGTTGCTGACATATCGTGGCAGGCTGAGTGTGAGAGCTGCCTGGAGTAGTCCCGGGAGCCCCCTTCACCCTCCCCACCCAGTTCTCGAAGCCCGGGGGAGCCAGCAAAGGAGCTGCTGAGAGGCAGCGGGGAGTCGCGAAAACTTTGCCCAGGGCGCGCGGTCGCCGCAGTGCCGGCCGCAGGCTGGCCGCAGCTCCGCCAAACAGCTGAAACCCTAGACGGCTTTTTAACTACTCCGGGCAGCACCGCGGTGCCTATTAAAAATCCTCCTGGCTGGGTGTTATTTTCTTGCTTCTCCTTTTGTATTCTGATCTGTGCATAGATCTGCTGCTGAAATCTAGAACACCAGCGCGAAAACAGATTTGAAGACAATGAATGCAAATCTGTGCTCAAAGACCATCTGCCGTGGAAGAGACAAATCAGCTGTTCCGCCGTTCGAGCGACTGCGCCAGAGCTTCCCGGCCTCATTACCGAGAGGGCCCTGGCGAAAGCCTGGATAACATTCAGGAGACTTTCCCCCATTCAAGACTCTAGTTTGAGCGTGAATTAACTCTCGACCAGATTCCTTAGGTGTAGGTGAGCGCTCACAACTGAACTGTGAGAGTTTGCCGCTAGAAGACATAGCGCCTGGCAACTCGTTTGCCTGGGCGTACAGGAAGCTCGCACTTTCAGGAAATGCCGCTCTGCTGAGAAAGGGACCGGTCTCCGCCTCCGATCTACCCCAGGGGCAAACCGCGACCCCAGACATGGAGGCGAATAGCGCTCAGAAAGCGCAGGTCTCTACTGCGGAGATTCGCTTCAAAATATGGGGAGAGGAAGGGTGTGTGGACTCTCTCTGCACAAACCCGGGGTCCAGGGCTTGGGGTAGTTGATGGGGGGGGGAGAGCGGAGGAAGAACGTGAAACCCCTGCCTCAGGGTAGTGCTGATTGTGACACCCTCACCCCATTCGAGCTGCCTGTTCCAACTTGGCCCCTTTATTGGACAAGAGGGGCAGCGGAACAATGAAGGGCGATTGGGCATCAGACTATGAACCGCGACTGTTGTAAAAACCTAGTGAGATAGGAGTTGTCCAAAGAAAAAAGGAGGGCTGGAGTGAACTTTGTAGAGATGAAACTACCCTGTTTCAACTGGGCAATTATCTGTTCTACGCCCATTTTATGGTTATTTTCGGCCCCTGCAAAAACTAAGCGCCTGAGCCTTCTACCGTGACTTGCTCTCTTTATAAATCTCTCAGAACCTTAAGTAATCACCCACCCCATCCTTGTCCGCGGACTGTGCCCAGTGGAGGCAATGCCTCGGGTTCCTTGGCGGAGAGTGTGCAGCAGCCCATGAGTCCCTCAGGATGTGTTGATGAACCCCGTGGCTTGTTTTCAAGGGGCCTCTGATCTGTTGCACCGCGACGCTGCCCTAGAGAGGAACCGAGCTCAGCCCAAGGGGCCGCGGGGCAGCAGTGGATCCGGATCTGGCCCGGACCGTCTGCCCCTCAGGCCCGGTTGGCTGAGGTTAAAGGGCAGAGCCAGGGTCGAGTACGCTGGTTCTTCTCGCCTGCAACAGCTGCCACCCAAATTATGACCCTCAGGAGGCGAATGAATTGGTCCTTTCTCTCAGCTTCCTGATGTCCGCCCCAAACCAGACGGCCGCGCACTGAGGGCGCCCCCACCCACACCTCCCAGAGACAAGTTCAGGGGCCGAGGTGCCCTGCCGGCAGATAGTTTGGGGGAAGCCTTGGCCTCAGGGCTTTGATCTGGGATAGGGGCAGCAGCACCGCTCCTCGCCGGCTGCTCTAGGAGCGCCAGGAGCTCGGCTACGCAGAGCGCTCGGGGCAAACAGCCGCTGCACTGCTGGGAGCCCCGTGGGCTTTGAGCCGCGGGCACCCAAATTCCCTCTTGACTGGGACAACTTTACGGGCTAGCGCGGGTAAGAGGGCGGAGGGGATGAGCGGAGCGGGAAGCAGCGTTGGGCCCAGCAAGGCGGCGCATCAGGCTCGGGTAGTAGGGAGCGTTTCTGCCAACCGAGTTGGGTTTAATTAGGTTTGTGTAGGGTTTAGGGAGGAGTAGGCGCAGAGTCGGCCACCCGCGCAGAAGGAGCGTTGGTTAGTGACGGAGTGAGCCGCGGCGGCTGCGCCTGGCGGGTCTCTCCCATCTCTGTCGCCTCTGGCTACTCCTCCCGACCCCGCCCTGAACAAACCTTTTTGAACCTGCCCTGAGCCGCGCCGGGGCCCGACGGGCGCAGCTGTGGCCCGGGGTATCCTGGCCTCACGGGAATGCGGAACCCGCGTGCGCCTCCCGGGCTTCGGACCTCGAGCTTCGTTCCGCCGCTAGCCGGAGATGAGAAAAATCCAAGATGAACATTATTAAAATTCTTTACGACAGTCTATTTGCACAAAATCCGGTTGGGTGGTGGCATTCCGTCTTCTTCCCTGTCCCCTCCTTTGTTCACTCTTCCCAGTTAACCCCCGCTTTCCCCCTACCTCCGCTTATGTTTCACATCTGCACCTCAGTGTTTAATTTCCTCCAGATTGGTTTTAAGGACCCTTTCCCTAATCTCGTTCAGTCCAGTCTCCTGGGCGCCTCGTCTCTGCTCTGGGTCAGAGGTTCGGAAATTTTTCTTTAAAAATTTCTCTCCGGCCTCGTTCTCCTCCAGCAGAGCCCTGGGGTGAAATCAGGTGTGAGAACACCCCCGTCCCATACAACCTGACCTTTACCCCCACCCTCAGACACACACATCGCAGCGCCTGGGTCTACGCAACCCAAAGAATAGAGCCTGGCTGGTACCCAGGTATTTCGATCCCCAGGGACAGTCTGTCTGCATTTTGTAAACGAAATAAGTGATCGTCCCCGTAAGCCTCTCTTCGGACGTGAATTTTCCAATTTGTTTGTTTTAACTGGAACCTTTGCTTTTTATTCGTCTGAGTAGAAATATATAAATGGATTTGCTCCCCAACTCACAATCCTGAGGGCAATTTAGCCCGCAACTCTTCGTGAAATAATTTTTTAAATATCCAAATCCACTAACACCCGCTCCAAGTTTCAATTTTTGCATTTTTCTTACGGAAACTGCACTTGTATGCTCCATACCTGAGAATTCCCTAAAGAGGGAGGAGGAAAGAAACTATTCACAAATGCACGACAAACATATCAGGAGTACTCCGCCATCCATACTGAACAGTTTGTCCCCTTTTAGGACAATTTGGTAAGAAGTTAGATTCTCTTCTTCATTTTTCTTTTTCTTTTTTACGCAGTGAAAAGGATTCGAGCCAGAAGGGCTGCAGAACACTGAGGCATGGAAGAACGTTTTGTAGACACACGATGTTGCACCCAGGCCAGTTGAGTCACTGCAATGACTCAAATTACCCAAAATGGACTGAAGGAGCTAGAGTTGGCTCTACCCTAATCCTTGGCAACTCCAGAAAGTGTCTTCTTCCTCTTTCCTTTTTCTTCTCTACCTGCTCCCTCTCCCATAAGTATCCTCCTGAAAAACGCCCTTCCTTCCCATTCCCTTATTCCAGGTGCAGAGTGAGCCAGGGAGCCAGAGCCGAGTCAGAGACGCGGAAAGGTCACGAGAACAAATTTTCGAAGGAACCGGCTCATCTGAGGTTTGGAGCCGGGACATTGGAGCTGGGCCCGCGAGCAGCCGTGTAATAGCGCCCCAGAGGTATGTGCGTTTGAGGGCAGGTGATCAGTAGAGAGGGAAGTGCCTGGTGCAGCCTCCACACGAACGGGGGTTGGGAGGTCCTGACTTCCTGAGTGA